CGACGGTGCAGAAGCTGAACGTCCTCCTGTCCAAGTTGCTGCTGCCAGGCTCGTAATCTGTCATGCGCCCTTGTACCGCCTCCTCATGCTGCTGCCAGGTCCAGAGTGTGTCATGGGCCCCCGTACCGACTCCTCATGCTGCTGCCAGGCCCGTAATCTGTCATGGGCCCCTGTACCGCCTCCTCATGCTGCTGCCAGGTCCAGAGTGTGTCATGGGTCCCTGTACGGCCTCCCATTGCTGCTGCCAGGCCCGTAATCTGCCATGGGCCCCCGTACCAACTCCTCATGCTGCTGCCAGGCCCGTAATCTGTCATGGGCCCCTGTACCGCCTCCTCATGCTGCTGCCAGGTCCAGAGTGTGTCATGGGTCTTTGTACGGCCTCCCATTGCTGCTGTCTCCATCGCCACACTCTGCCATGTGCCACTTTCAGGTCTCCTCACACTGCTGGTGGTTTCCATTTTTGTCATAGGGTGCTGTATGGCCTCCCATTGCTGCTGCCTCCACCGCCACACTGTGGCTCCACACTCTGGTTTTGGCCCCGTGACTGCCCAAATGAGTGAAGTGTGCGGTGATTCTAAGATCGACGGCACTCATCTGCATGTCATACTGACTGTCAGTATTATTTCTCTTCTCCAGCAGACTCCAAGGGCATTTAAATTAAAGGTACAGTGTTCTGCACTAATATAAAGGCTCTCTGAAGCCTAGAAACACCCTTTTATAAGTTAAATTCGCAGCGAATATATTCGACTCGAATCGAAATTTTTTCACGAATTCGCCGAATCAAATTTTTGAATAATTCGCTCATCTCTAATTATTATACAGGATTCATATAGTGCTAACAGTTTGCGCAGCGCTTTACAAAATGAAGACAAGAGGAAACAGAGGGCCCTGTTCCTTAGAGCTTACAATCTAAGATTTAAGTTAAATATAAGGGCTCATGTACACTGCAGCTGATAAACCCACTTTCAGGAGCTGTTCAGCGTTTTTTTCAGCAGCCCCTGAACTCTCCCTAATGTTTTCCTATGTGTCCATGTACACATCTTCGTTTAAAGTCGTTTACAGGCATTTGAGTTTGCAGTCGTTTTTTTGAACGCAGAAAACTTGCATTCAGCAGTCGATTTTATCAGTGTTTCAAACGCAAGATGCTTGTAAACGCGGCAAATCGCATTTATAAGCATTTGCATCTGAAAATTTTTTTAACTCTTCCAGTTCCCCCGATGCTGTGCAGAGCTTTTTTTCATCATTATAAATGCGCGCAAAGCATTTTCAAGGTACTCAGATGGACAAAACACTGAAAACAGGATGTTCCTACTATACTTGTCACACATTGTAATGACCAATTCACACCTCAGACCTCTCCCACCCTTCGAAACAAAAGATATGTTAATGACCATTCACACCTCAAATTCCTCATGAAGACCCCCTGCCAGGTGGCCTTAATGACTCCCCCCACCAGACACCTTTCCCACCCTTGGAAACAAAAGAAATGTTAATGAGCAACTCACACCTAAGCTAATTTCAACACCTACTGCTGTCTCTGCTTCTACTCTCTGTATTTCTCTGAAAGTCTGAAATAGTTAATAATTTACCACTTTTCAGTACATTCTGGGCATTAGGGAGGTTCTCCTGTGTTTATCTTTAAAAACACTTCTAAACACAAACGCGCATAGGCGCATTATGCAAACACGGCTAAACAGACGTTTTTTTTAACTTACGTTTTCCAGCAGTCAGTTTCCATCGTTCAGAAGTGTCCCGTGTACATGGGGCCTAAATGTTATTTTATATAAATAATGTTAAATATACTTATTGTTGGTATCCCATCACATATGTGACTGAACATTATAAAATTAATACAATTGCAAAAATATTAAATTCTATTGGGGCCATTTGTACATACACATACATGCATACATGATGATTTCCAATTATTGTAAGTCCCCCATACACTAAGCAATCAAGATTGCATGAGATCTAGCAAGTGCAGTGCAGAGTGTTGGTTTGTGCCTTCCCCTGTCACCTTTTTCTTTTGGTGTCAGTAAAACTCATCAAAAGTGACTCATGCAAGATAGCAGAGGAACAAGATAGCAGACTGAAATGACACTTAGTGCTCTGAATTTAGATAAGCACACACATTGCACAGGGATATGCTTTCTTCATATTTCAGATGTTAGGTTTACAACCACTTTAAAGCGGAGTTCCACTCACTCTGTAAAAAATTAAAATCAGCTACAAAAACTGTAGCTGCTGACTTTTAAAAAAAAAAATAGCCACTCACCTGTCCCACGATCCTGCGTTGCCCCCGCCGCAGCCCGTTTCACTGGTCATCCTTTATTCCAGGCGCCGGCATCTTCAGTGTGGGCACCTGGCTGTGACAGCTTGCAGCTTCACAGCCGGGTGCCCACTGCGCATGACCGAGTAGCACTGCGCTGCCTGAATGGCCCCATTGTCTTCTGGGACCTGACACGTGTCCCACAAGACTTCGAGGAGGGAGGGGTGGAGGACAACTTCCGTTTCCGATCACCTAGGTGATCGCAGCGGAAGTGGGAGCGGGTACCTGTCAAATTCGGGTACCCTTCCCCCCCTGCTCCCCAAAAGTGCCGATCCTTAATGGGGAGCGGGGGACCAATATTTAAAGCGGAACTTCCCCTTTTGGGTGGAACTCCGCTTTTAAAATATACATGTCAATTGAGTTCAACCAAAAGACAGAGAAAAATAACATACAAAAGAAAAAAATAACATATGAAAGAAAATAACATAAAAAATAAAAACACTTTTCCATCCTCTGAACTATAAACCTGCAGATGAGCCAGAGGAAGACTAAAAACCCTCATTAAGCTCAGTCTAATTTGCTCTAAATACATTTTTTTTTTCCTGTAGGGGAAATGTCTAAGCAAGAAATAACATGAGCAATTCTATGCACACAGCTGTGCTCACGCCACACTGTATGAATTTTGCATCATCATGGGAAAAATGAAAAATAAGAATATTATTTGTACAAGTATATTGGTTTGCTTGAGATCTTACAGAGAAACTATTCTGGCCGTTGCTATATCCACGAAACGAGATAAAATAAATATATCACCCTCACTAATCACAATCCAGCCGGAGTTTGTGTATGCAATAACTCGTACAGTGCAGCCAAGAGAAAGTCTTATTGTTTAGATTTGGAGATTTCATTTAGCAAAGTCCCTGGCTTGGTAATGTTGATCTGTTTGATTTGTGGTTTTTGTAGGGAGATCGTTCCAACAACTCCAGTGTGCTGGCAGTCCTGTCATGTGGAATATATTCGTTTTGTCTTGGGGTGTGTGCGTTCTGAGCAAACCAAACGAGATCACGAGGATTGTTTGTGTTCCATATACTTAATGTAGGTCAGGGTGCAGAAACAGTGCAAAGTGTCCCTAGCTGGTACCTTCCAGGCAAACTGATTGGGTAACAAAGAAAAAGGCCGAATAAATCTTCATCCGCACGCTAGAAGCTGAAGAACTGAAAAACTAATCAGGTGCTTTCTATGAGTTCTTATATTTACTCTATTTACAATTACAACTTCTTTTATAATGACTTCAGCTATTTTATTTTTTATTTCTTTTATCATATCTCTTAGATTGTAAGCTCCAAGGAGCAGGGCCCTCCTATCCCTCTTGTATTGAACTGTATTGTTGCCGTATTGTCTCCCGTTATATTGTAAAGTGCTAAGGAAACTGTTGGCGCTATATAAATCCTGTATAATAATAATATGACAACTGTAGTTTTATGTGATTCTAGAGCAGCGGTTCTCAACCTGGGGGTTGCGACCCCTTTGGGGGTCGAACGACGCTTTCACAGGGGTCGCCTAAGACCATCGGAAAACACATATTTCCGATGGTGTTAGGAACCGAGACACCGCTGCTCTATCCGTCTCCAGGTGTGGGCGGGATGACATGCCGCCCCTGTCATCTGGACACACCCTCGGGATCAATCCTCGACGGTGATTGGCCACCGGAACTGTAGCTCAGGAGAGGCACACAGGCGGCCAATCACCGGCGAGGAGGTGAAGCTTGGAGAGGAGGAGCCGAGTGGCACCGCGAAGATCGAGCGGGTGAAGAGGAGGAGAGCGGCCGGAGAAGGAAGACAGCTGACAGGTAAGTGTCTGTACCATGGGAGAGGGAGGGAGGGAGGAAGCGAGCAAGCCCAGGCTGGAGCAGGGGTCAGAAAGGTAAGTATCATTGGTGTCAGTGGGAGGAATAGTGCCCATCATTGGATTCACTAATACCAATGATGGGGCACTATTCCTCCCACTGATACCAACGATGAGGCACGATTCCTCCCCCCACTGACACCAACGATGGGGCACTATTCCTCCCCCCACTGACACCAACGATGGGGCACTATTCCTTCCCCCACTGACACCAACGATGGGGCACTATTCCTCCCCCCACTGACACCAACGATGGGGCACTATTCCTCCCCCCACTGACACCAACGATGGGGCACTATTCCTCCCCCCACTGACACCAACGATGGGGCACTATTCCTCCCCCCACTGACACCAACGATGGGGCACTATTCCATCCCCCCACTGACACCAACGATGGGGCACTATTCCTCCCCCCACTGACACCAACGATGGGGCACTATTCCTCCCCCCACTGACACCAACGATGGGGCACTATTTCCCCCCCACTGACACCAACGATGGGACACTATTCCTCCCCCACTGACACCAACGATGGGGCACTATTCCTCCCCTGACACCAACGATGGGGCACTATTCCTCCCACTGACACCAATGTTGGGGCATTATTCCTCCCCCTGATACCAACGATGGGGCGCTATTCCTCCCACTGACACCAGTGATGGGGCGCTATTCCTCCCCCTGATACCAACGATGGGGCGCTATTCCTCCCACTGACACCAGTGATGGGGCGCTATTCCTCCCCCTGATACCAACGATGGGGCGCTATTCCTCCCACTGACACCAGTGATGGGGCGCTATTCCTCCCACTGACACCAATGATGGGGCGCTATTCCTCCCACTGACACCAATGATGGGGCGCTATTCCTCCCACTGACACCAATGATGGGGCACTATTCCTCCCACTGACACCAATGATGGGGCACTATTCCTCCCACTGATACCAATGTTGGGGCACTTTTCCTCCCACTGACACCAATGATGGGGCACTATTCCTCCCACTAACACCAATGATGGGGCACTATTCCTCCCACTGACACCAATGATGGGGCACTATTCCTTCCACTGACACCTATGATGGGGCACTATTCCCCCCACTGACACCTATGATGGGGCACTATTCCCCCCCACTGACACCAATGATGGGGCACTATTCCCCCCACTGACACCTATGGTGGGCACTATTCCTCCCACTGACACCAATGACGTGGCACTATTCCTCCCACTGACACCAATGACGGGGCACTATTCCTCCCACTGACACCAATGACGGGGCACTATTCCTCCCACTGACACCAATGACGGGGCACTATTCCTCCCACTGACACCAATGACGGGGCACTATTCCTCCTACTGACACCAATGACGGGGCACTATTCCTCCCACTGACACCAATGACGGGGCGCTATTCCTCCCACTGACACCAATGACGGGGCACTATTCCTCCCACTGACACCAATGATGGGCACTATTCCCCCCACTGACACCTATGACGGGGCACTATTCCTCCCACTGACACCAATGATGGGGCACTATTCCTACCACTGACACCAATGATGGGGCACTATTCCTCCCATTGACATCAGTGATGGGACACTATTCCTCCCACTGACACCAATGACGCGGCACTACTCCACCCACTGCAAAATTACAGTTATGAAGTAGCAAATAATTTTATGGTTGGGGGTCACCACAACATGAGGAACTGTATTAAGGGGTCGCGGCATTAGAAAGGTTGAGAACCACTGTTCTAGAGACACATAACGTATTTGTAAACCTAGTCACTGAAATCTGAAAATTAGTTACAACAGGTTAATGCAATTTCAAAAGTCAAATTCAATATATTTAAATCTGTCCTTTCAGAAAAATAAAATCTTGGCTATCCTGCCATGAAGGTCTTGTCACTTTTGGGGACATACCCTCACTTGTCTGGTGAGGCCATTGTCAGCAGAACTTAAAAAAGAATATTGGTTTTTTTTTTTTCCCCCAAAGTATACTTACCTAGGTGGATGTACCTGTCCCCCTCCGGCTCCAAGTGTGAGAACTCAGCGATCACATATCCACTGATCACTGAGTTCTCAGTGCAGTTGTGAGCAGAGAGCGGTGACTGTCAGTCACCCCTCCTGTGCACACTGGAGCGCTGGACTGTGGAGGGGGCGGGAGGAGCTGGGGCTCTCAATGGCTGCTGGAGAAGCGGAGCAAGATGTAGGCTCTAGGGTGGATCCCGACTTTAAAGCTCTTTCCCCAACCTGGCTGACTGAGTGGCGTCAGAGTGGGCTTCAGCGCTGAGGCAAGAAGTGCAGAATGTACTCCTGTGATCCACAGGAGAAGTACAGCCAAAAGAGCTTTGGCTGTACTTCTCCTTTAACTTCTAGGGTGGATGGCCGAGCAGGAACCCTATTATCCTGGGAGGACGTCATTAATAGTACCCAGGGACGCTCCCGTGATCTTCACCCTTTGGGACACGGCTGGTGACAGATCACTACACCGGCTCACTGCCACATGTGAGTGGCTGTGACCAATCACAGCCCACAGTGGAATGGCTTCATGCCATTCACTGCTTAAAACTGTACTGCGAGCTGTGAAACAGGTCACGAGTACAGACTGGGCCAATCACAGCCTATCTATAGCAATGATCAGCTATGGCTAGCCATAGCTGATCACAACAAAAAACTACTGAATCTGTTTTTATTCAGATGCTTGCTTATACCAATGTAATTTGTAGGTATAAGCAATAATAATATGTAAAAAAAAAAAATCCTGATCACTTGCCCAAAGTAGTTCAATGTTACTGTGGTAAGATTGCTCTGGTCACGGGAGTAGAAAAATAATTGTAAAAAAGTAAATGTAAAAAAAATTTCAAAAAGATGAAAATGAAAATATTTTTTTTTAATATTTTTGTTTTCATTTTTTTACATACTGTCGCCAGTTAGTGACCCTGATCACCTAGTTATATGATCACAATGTACTGCATTGGTGACAGTATGTACGAAAAAAATTGTGAGCATTTTTTTAAATTTCTTCTTTTTCTACAAAATTATGACAAAGAAATATAAAAAAAACTCGCCGTGCCTTTTACTAAATACCTCAGACTGTCTACTTTCCAAAAAGCGGTCATTTGGGGGGTATTTGTACTGTGCTGGTGTTTTTGGGCTTCAAGAAATGAGACAGGCCATCAGCACATCAGGTCTTATCAAATTTTTTAGATATATACCATAGATTGTGGACTCTATAGACTACAGACTAAATAATAAACACTGACTTGGGTTATTTTCACCAAAGACATGTGGCAGAATATATTTTGGCCTAAATTTGTGTAAAAAGATTATTAATTTGCAAAATCTTATAACAGAAACAAAGAAAACCTTTTTTTTGTCTTTTTTCGTTTATAGCACAAAAAAAAAAAAGCCCAGTGGTGATTAAATATCACCAAAAGAAATCTCTATTTGTGTGAAAACAAATTAGAAAAACGTCATATGGGTACAGTGTTGCATGACCGCGCAATTGTCATTTAAAGTGCAACAGCGCTGAAAGGTGAAAATTGACCTGGGCACGGGGTAGAAGTGCCCGGTAGGCAAGTGGTTACAGTGAGTAAATCTCTCCATTTGAGTCTCAGGTATTAGTAAATCCCCAGTATGGATTTTAACCTTTTCCCACTCAATCTAAAAAAAAAATACAACGTTTTGGCTGGACACACACTTTAACGCTTTTTTGGTTGAGTTTTGGGTAGAGAAGGGAAAAGTTTGAATTTCTGTCAAGCTCTTTTGATGTCTGTGTGCCCAATGGGCACGTTAACCCTCTATTTTTGTCCTAGTGACCAATATCACTGGGACTGAAAGTGAGGGAAAATCACCAAAGCAGGAATCAAGACGAAATACTCCAATGGGGACACTTGTTCAGGTGACAACTGTCTAAGAGACTTTTTTTTTTTTTTTCTAAGTCCGCAGAAGTACGAAAAACAAAAAACCTGTAAGTGAACAAAAAACGTGCTAATGCAAAACCAACACAAAAAGGTGCACTTAGGGGTGTGCTTTGTCCACCCCCCAAAGGATTTGGACCTCTATCCTGATCCCCCGGGGCGCAAGGCTTCTGATAGGGACTAAGGTTTCCACATGGACCGCCTAACCAAAAGGCCTGGTGGACCCCTTTCCTTGTGGCTAGCCAAAGCCAGCCACCAAGTACTAGGTCAGGGGGCTCTCCCGAAGAGAGACCCCCCAGGGACAGGGGAGGAAGGAACCAAAAGGCCACACATCCTCCCCCTAGACTTCAGGGTAGGCCGAGGACCCACACCCTACAGTCCTTGAGAAAAAACACTCATAAGTGAAAAGTGAAACAAACGTGTGAGAAAAATAAATTAAATAAATAAGTAAAAATAAAAAAGTGGCCGTGCAATTGTGCACTGGCTAGGCCCTGAGGCCTCTAGCATAAAAATTGCCCTGGACTTAGCCCTAAAAGGTGCAATGCAGATAAAGTGCTTTGGAGCAGTGATCATGTGCACGTTTCACACTTAGGATTCCATCCCCATGTGCTACTAGAAGCACCCCTGAGGCGACCACTCAGGGGGCACTATTCCGTGGACTCGCTGCCTCCCCGGCCCCTGGCCAGAGAAGGTAGATCCGTTCAAACCAGTTCCTCCTTTCCCTACTCCATCCAAAAAATAAAGAGGCTTTGCCTTTAGATATACTTCAGTAAGAAAGGACAGTCTTTTGAGGACAATGAGGTGCACATTACGGATAGACAGAATAACTAATTTGCATGTGGTGTAAAAGGCCATCTATGTCACACTGAAACAACCATTCCCAAACAGGAGTAAGGGCTTTCAACACTATTTGTCTTTTACTGGACTGTTTTGTATATTTCCTGCTTTCAATCCAGATATTCCCTGTGATGGCACTCCAAAGAGCAACCTCCTCCTAAGCAGACTATATCATTAAGAGCACTCTCCAATCTTCACCTCCCGCTCTGCGGTGCACATATTAAAAAAGAAGTTATATAGTGCTTTGTTTTTTTAAAAGGTTTAGTCCTCCTTCCTAGCTTATACAATGGCGCTCACATTCCAAAAGGTGCTCCACCACACCAAGCAGTAGGCATGTAGCACCAGTATTTGTGCCACAAAGTTCTCACCACAGTTCCATGTTTAGTATACAGGTGCCCATGTGCAGCGTCATGACGTCATCCATCCCCTCCTCTACGCGTTTCCTCAGGACTTCCTCACCATTTTTGTATATATGTAGTGGACATAGCTGTAGTGGATATTCGTTTGCACAATTGATGATAACATTTAAATGGAGTTTGGTATATGGCTATAGTGCTGTACCATAATTATATACATATGTACACTCACCAGCCACTTTTTTAGGTACACCTTTCTAGTATCAGGTTGGACCCCCTTTTACCTTCAGAAATGCCTTAATTCGTTGTGGCTTAGATTCAACAAGGTTTTGGAAACATTCCTCAGAGATTGTGGTCCATATTGACATGAGTTACCATTGCCTTTTTATCATCTTGACCCAGTTTTGCCCATTCTCCTCTGACCTCTGACATCATCAAAGCATTTTCGTCCACACAACTGCCATTCACTGGATATTTTCTCTTTTTTGGACCATTCTTTGTAAACCATAGAGATGGTTGTGTGTGAAAATCCCAGTAAATCAGCAGTTTTTTAAATACTTGGACCAGCCCATCTGGTGCCAACAACCATTCCACGTTCAAAGTCACTTAAATCCCCTTTCTTGCCCATTCTGAAGCTCAGTTTGAACTTCAGCAAGTCGTTTTTATCACGTCTAGATGTCTAAATGCATTGAGTTGCTGCCATATGATTGGCTGATTCGAATTCGAAAACAAATTTGCATTCAAAAACAAATTTGAATTTGAAATAAGTTTGAATTAAAAAACAAGAAGAGAATAAAATAGAATTGAAAATAAATGAATAGGAGAGAATAGAACAGAATACAAAATAAAATAGAACAGAATACAATAGAAAATCAAGGGATATAATAGAAAAGATTAGATTAGAATGGAAAATCAAAGAGTATACTAAAAAAGAAAAAAAA